TTCCCCTCTGGAGGAGACACCTGACCCACACTGGGGCAGTCAAAGGGAATGAAAGGTGTTTATTTTGTGGCTTTGGTGAGAAAGCCCACAGCCACCGTTGCTAAGGCAGCCAAGCCCTGAAGAGGACTTTGCAGGGTACATTCTTACCGTGAAGCCAGCTGTCAGAGCAGAAGGACACGGGGTACAATAAGAAACACATTTGGCCTTGTCCTTGGTTTCTGGTACACTCTCTAACTGGAATGTTTTGTTATTCATGAGAAGCCCTTTGGCCTGCACCTGAGTTTATGTTAATGAGGCCACTTGTGGGGACTCCGGAGAGCTTCAGGGTGGGGCTGGGCCCCAAAAAGCTCAAGTCTTTAGAAGACAAGAACTTTCAGCCTCACCCACTGACCTCTGGAAGAGAGGAAGGGGCTGGAGATTAAGCCCTGTAAGACCTCAGCAGGGCTGGGTTGTGCTTCCAGGGCAGAATCCTTGCTTAGCATGCTAGCAGTGCAGGGCACTGGAGTCCATGACCAGAACCAGAAAATTTAAACAAAAGTTAAAATGAGGGACTGCGGAAATGTTCAGTGAGTAAAGTGTTTGCTGTGCAAGCATGAGGAACTGAGTTCACTTCCCAGCACCCACATAAACTCTGGCCGTGGGATCATGTGCCTATAATGCCAGTGTTACAGACAGGGAGGGGACACATGGATCCTGGGGGACTTGCTGGCTACCCAGACTAGCTGAAACACCGAACTTCAGGTTTAGTAAGAGACCCTGCTCAAAAAAGAAGGGGGAGAAATAGGGGAAGACACCAGAAGTCAACCTCCAGCCCTCACATGAGCTTTCCAGTGTGTGGCGTGCAACACACACACACACACACACACACACACAGAGACAGACAGACAGACAGACAGACAGACAGAGAGAGAGAGAGAGAGAGAGAGAGAGAGAGAGAGAGAGAGAGAGCCTAAGATTCAGAGACGTGTCAGGAGTGAACACACTGAGCTTCACGAGTTGGGGCGATGTGCCCAGAGAGGGCTCAGTAGCTCCTTGGCCTCCCGCACAGCATCCCCTAGGCAGCCCTTCCTCCTGACAGTGTCTGGGTTGGACCCTTTCTATAAGCCAGGAACTGTGGGAAACACCATTTTCTGGGTTCTGTGAGTTGACCCGGTGGGTGATGGAAACTGAGGAAGGGTCTTGCAGCCTCTGAAAGAGGGGTCTGAGGCGGCTGTCCTGTGGGACTGAGTCCAAGTCTTCTGAGGTCTGTGCCGAGTCTGAGAAGCCAGTGTCAGAGGTGGGTGGGCTGGTGGACACGACTGGGGCTCAAGGATCGGAGAACTGGTGGGTGCTGGGCACATTCGAGGGGGGAGTTCAGTGGGCAAGCCCAGAGCGCCTGTCAGCAGGTTGGGAAGCTTCATTTCCTGGAACCCTGCTTTACTCTCTGAAGCCTGTCCAGACAAGGTTTCTGTGCTGAGCAGCTGTCGCCGGTCCTGGCCTCGCCCCGCCCCACTGCAGGTATGGACCCCCTCTGGATAGGCTTGCTCCTGATAGCTCCAGCACTCCACCTGCTCTGATGCATCCATCCTCTCTCCTGGGAGTTATCACCGAGCCCTCTGTGGGGAGGGACCTGGTCCTGGGGTCTTTACAAGATACACAGAAGCCGGCTATGCTGCCTCACCCCTGTAATCCAGATCTTGAATTCAGCGACAACTTCCTAGAGATCTGATGTCACAAAATGAAAGCTTTAAAGTTTCATTTAACCTTCAATCCCACCGCTTCTCTTCTTTTCTGAGTCTATCTAGGGTTTGTGAACTCCGTTAACATATCTACCATCAGGCAGCTGTCCTAAAGAAGGAAGCCGCTCCTCCCGTTATTCTTCCTGACCTCAGCCACCAGACTCCCTCTCCTGAGTGGCTCCCTACCATCCATTCCCCACCCCGTGGTCTAGGAGAACCTGTCACCAGGGCCCATTGCTTCAAACCCTGCAGGGTGCCCATCTCGTGCAGAGCAAATAAATGCACTGTCCCCATGTCCTGAGGCCTGTCTGTCATGTTTCTCCCACTACCCCAGTGTCCGCATGAGCCTTTGCACTGGCTGTTCTCTCTGCAAGGAGTGCTCTTTCCAGCAGATCTTGCCCCGCCCTCCAGGCTCTGACTGATGTCAAATCTCTGGGCATCCTATATGAAATAGCAGCAGCTCTTACTCCTTCTCTCCTTCCTGTCGTATTTTCTGTAGACCACATCATTGTCCAACTTGCCTAGTATTTATTTATAAGATTGGCTCCGGTCTCTCTAGCTAGAATGCAGACTCCAGGAAGTGAAGATGCTTATCTCTCCTGTTCCTTGCTGTGTCCTCTGCAGCCAGAACGGGGCCTGGTGCAAATTAGACACACAAGAGACTCTCAGATGCATAACCTCCTCCATGGTGACAGAATGGCTGGTGAGAGGTGCTTGCCATTATGCTTCCAGTTATTGCTGTGTGACGGGGGAGTGCCTGAACCTCCCTGGGCCTGTGGATACAAGCAGCCTCTTCTTGTTAAGGTTGTTATGCAAATACATGTGGAGCTCAGGGAGTAAAAGACCTTGTTGCCAAACCTGGTGAGTTCAATCCCTGGGCCCACACAGTGGAAGGAATGGTCTGACTTCTTAAAGCTATCTTCTCACCTCCACGAATGTACCATGGCACATGTGCACCCACACACATATGCACACATGCACCATGGCACATGTGCTTCCACACACATATGCACACACGAGAAAATATACTTCCAAATACATGATAACATTGGTAGTATACACAGAATGTCTCTGGAACTTAGATGTATTCTTATGTACCGGTCGCTCTGGGCAGTGATAGTTGCCAGTGGTAAATTAACAGCCAGGGAGGAGGTACTTCTCACTGTATTTGAGACCAGCAGGATACATTCTTAATTTAAAACAGACCAGCAATGCACAGGAATTATTAAATAAGGTTGGGTGACAAGTACACAGAAATTCTTATTCATTCTTAGAAAGGCAATAAAATATTTGTTGATACTAAGGGTTTTAAATGAGGGGGTGCTGGAGAGATGGCTCAACATTGTTAGGAGCACTGGCTGCTCTTTCAAAGCACCCGGGGTTCAATTCCTAGCACCCACATGGCAGCTCACAACAGTCTGTGACTCCAGTTCCAGAGGATCCAACACCCTCACACAAACATACACGCAGGCAAAAAAACACCACTGCACACGAAATAAAAGTAAATTCTAAAAAAAGAGCTTTAAAAATAAATCCCAGGCTTCTTCTCCCCTATGGCTATCCCAGAATGCTAGCAACACATGGGGAGAGGAGGTAGTGGGAACTCCCCCCAGCCACTCTGTAGAGGAGAGCCCTGAGGTCCAAATACATCCCCCCAAACCACAGCTCCAGAATCCCAAATATGGGCTATCCAGAGTGCAGTAAAGGCTGAGGAGCCAGGGGCAGGATGTGAGCAGTGAGAAGTATCTGGGCCAGGCTGTCTAGGGCCCAGGAAAGCCACAGTCACTGATGGCAAAGCAGGCCAGGATGGGCCCAGGCCTGGACATGGGGCTCTCTGGAGGATAAGCAGGGGCTTCCTACATGGACCACTAACTTACCTATCCTGGGCAAGTGCTAGGGCCACACCATGGACTCTAGTCTCACCAACTCTTCCCCTCACGCTGCTAATGAAGAGTCCCTCCTAGGTCATGTATAGGGCCTTCACCAGGCAGTTTGGAAACTGGAACCCTGGCTAAGAGTGAGCTCTCAAACACGCCCCTGCCTCCTGCACACAGTGGGAAAAGAAAGGTGCAGGTACATACAGACCACCGGAGGCCTAGCCTTGCCTGCCCTTCTCCAGTCTCCTCCTCTCTGTCCACCCCTCCCACCCTCGCCATTCTCATTGCCTTTGTATGTATTGCCCTGACCTGGAATCCGACAATTAAAAACACCTCCGGTTTGTCTCCATCCTCTTTTCCAAAGGATGAACCCGCAGCCCTCAAGTGTTGGCATCACATGGAGCTTGTTGGTAAAACAGAACCCTGGGCTCCACTCGTGACTTCCTGAGCCAAAGTTTGCCTAACATGACTTGTTTAGGGGACTGCATAAGTGCATGCTCAAGATGGGGGAGGACCACCTGCCTGAGTTCAAGACATCCTTGTAACATCTCCATTGAGCATCCCTGACTATAAGGACTTTCTGTCCTCTGGTCCCAAAACCGTTTCTGCCACTGGTCACACAGCAGTAAGTGGGGTCAAGGGGACTGTGTGCATGCACCTGCTGGCTTCCTGAAGACAGGCTTCTCTGTTTGCTATGAATGGTGCTGAGCCCTCAGCCCTAGGTCCTTCCCATACACAGCTGTACACAACCCACTGTATACAGAGTTGCTGCCTCATCCCATCTTCCCATGTGATTTGAGGGCAGGGTGACTAGTCTACCATGCGATGATCCTACTGTGCGCTGAGCTGCTGGTGAAAAGCTGTTCTGATCCTTTGTACTTTAGTACTGACACTATGGGCCAGGGCTTACTTCCATGACTCTCTGTGTGTGTGTGTGTGTGTGTGTGTGTGCGCGCGCACGCACGTGTGCCTGTGGCAGCCATGAATGAAGAAGTGAGGACGCAGTTTTTCATGTAGGTGGAAGGACTCACGCACAGACCGTGTACTGGCAGAGATCGTGGCTTGGAGGGAGGCAGGGAGGCTCTGCCTTTCACAAGCACCTGCTGGATGCATGATCTCACTCCTCACTGTGCTCTTCCTATGGGTGACAGGACAGGAGCTCTGCTTGGAAAGGAGGGAAGCAGTGTGAGCTACTGAAGTTCACAGAGGAATGCCGGGTAAGATTCGTGAGTCTGCAGGACGGGGTCACCAACACTTGTGATGACTGTCACACCTGTGGAACAAAATGCGGTTGTTGGTCTGCTCTAGTGAGCTGACAAGCTTAGACAGAAGAGGCTCTGGAGAGTTGTAACACTGCCAGGAAGGTGACCTTCCTCACAGGCCTCCAGGAAGGAGGCCGGAGGGGGAAGCTACACCATGCCAGTGCCCTGGCCAGGAGTCTTCCAAACTCAGTGTAGGTCGCCCATTCATTCCCTCTTGACCTGTGTTCCTGCAGTACTGATTCTGAAGTTCCCAGTACTGTACTAAGTGCTGGGAATCCTGAGAACAAGGTTCCACCCCTCGTGGGTCAGCAGTCACGCCTGTGGGCATGCCTTGCCCTGCCCCTTTTCCAGCTGGGTGTGTGATTGTGAAGACCAGCCAATCGGAGCCTGGATCCAGCTGGATCAGCATACTGGATCAGCAATACCCAAAGGCTGGTGCAAGGGAGACCCAGCCTATGAATGAAGCGATGGAGCTTCACAGGAATCCAGTGGGAAATGGATGCAGAACAGAGGTGCCTGCTGCCAGGCTTGTGCCCAGCCCCCACCCCAGCAGCTGCCTGTGAATGGAGCCAGTATTGGGAGGAGTCCTGAAGACATTGTGTGAGTCCCTGGATCCAACGGTGCCCGAAGCTCTCAGGATCCTCTTGGACCTTGAGCTGAGCCATATGCATTCCGTTTCTGCATGACAGCTGAGTTTCCGGCAGGTTGTATTTCACAAAGTCCACAACCTTGAAAGCAGTTTTGCTTGTTTGTTTTTTGCTTTTCAGATGGAGGAAGTTCAGAGAGGTTAAACGTCTTGAGCAAAGCGGTACAGTTGCTGTGTGGAGTGTAACCAGACCAAAGACAAGGTTGTAAGACAGGTGACAAACTTCAGCCAGGAGAAGAAGGGATCCTGCACAGGGAAGACAGGGGTTCCTGAGAGGATCCCACAAGATAATTACCATGGAACCTGCTCCACGCTGAGGCGACCAGGAGGAAGGAAGTGTGGGTGGCAAACTGGCAGCTGCTGCTGCTTTCTCGACTTCAGTTTCTTCCAGAAGATTCCATAGGAAAGCATGGACAGTGTCTCCCCTACAGTCACAAGGGCTGGTCACACTGTGCAGGTGGCTCCACGTGGTGGCAGTGTGTTGGAGGGAACCCTGCTCAGATGGGCCAGCATGGCTCCCCAGCTCGGAAGTCAACCTTCTGTGTCCCCCGTGTGGGGCATCTGAGCTGAGGACCTGTATGGAAGACTGAGGACTAGCCCCAGATGATGACTCGGGAACGGTCCAGCCTGCCTGCTGGTCTTGCTTTGGACTGCCCCCCCCAACCCTGCAGAGGGGAAGCGGATGCAATCATGTGCTCCCATCATGCAGGAGCAGCAGGGGAGCAGAACACAGGCAGTCAGATCCCTGCAAGAAGGGGCTCGGGTAGAAGTTGGGAGGGCAGGAGCCTGGTGTGATCGCAGTTAGGGAAGCCTCCCACTGTCCCCTTAGGAAATGAAGACACAAGTCAAGCTGGGCTGCTGTGGGCCTACGGGCCCCACCTCTTCCACTTAGGCACCGAGACTCAGTTTATGAGGCAACTGGGCTTGATTTGCTTTAGTACCCATTTGCTCTGGCATTTTGTGACCACAGTGGGGCGGGGTGGGGTGGGATGGGGGAATCAGCTTTGTGCAAACTGCCAGCACTAGACCAGCAGGTGACAAGCATCTTCCTGCCAACCTTCTCCACCACAGAAGCCAAAACAGACTGGTAAAATCGCTGGATTCCAGCCCTGGGATCCACTGCCACTCATTTACACCAAACCAATGGCATCCCGAGAGGACACGGCATTCCACGGCGGCTGGCACCTAGCATCCAACCAGCAGAGCTCGTTCCAGTTCTCTCCCAGGTTCCCAGATGAGAAATGAATCACGAAAACCCAGAAGGTAAAATTAGTCTGCCCTGCCGAGGGGGTAATTTATGCAGGGAGAACTGTATGAAGGCTTGAGGTTGGCAGAGGGCGGCCTGGCCATCTGGAGCCCCTGTCTCCGGACTTGTCTATTTCTGGCCTCAGCTTCCTGAGCTGCTGGCACAGACTCTAGAGCTTTCTTAAGTCCCTCCTTGTTCTCTCCCTGGCAGCAGACCTACAGCAAACAGGACCCATGCCTGGGCTCCTGTTAGGGGCCCATCCTTTCGCCTTGCTGCCCCCATTTCATGGGTGAGAAAGATAAGGCTCAGAGATGTTGCTTGGGCAACTGCAGAGAAGTAACAAAACTGGATCTGAACCCAGATCCCTGCTTTCCATAAGGTTGTATGCTTTCCCATGCTTGGCACTTCTGATCTCCAACCCTCAGGTGAGTGTGACAAGGGGACACCAGCAGCCCCTCCCCCATACCTACTATGTGTTTTCCGGTCTTAGGCTCTGGACTCCAAGTCCTGTTCTAACCACTGGTAAGGTGGAGGCTCCTTACTAACCCAGGAGGAGGGGCTTGTTGGGAGACACACAGCAAGTGTGAATGCCATTGCAGAGATCCTACTGTTAGGCTTTGTGCAGCAAGTAAACCTGGGTGTGAGTCGGGCTCCCTGTGTGTAGGGCCTATGTAGCAGGGTCACTTGTAAGCCCAACAGAGACCCTGACTCTAGTTCTCATCTAGGTAACTGTTCCTATTTGTGGGACCCATGGGGAACACAGGCTACTGGAGGGAGGTTCATCAGAAAGGCAGGTGAAGCAGGTAAGCTACCGCCCCTTCCTGCCTCATTAAAGACCAGGAGGCCAGCATGGGAGGCCAGCATGGGACCAATCCAGACCCCCTGAATGTGAGAGTCAATGAGATGGCCTGGGCTACCTATGGGGTCCTGAGCAGTGGATCAGTGTTTATCCCTGGAATACAAACAGACATCATGTGTCCATAACACAAAGAGGGTTGCTCTCTCTGCCTGGACTCTTAGGGAAGTGCCTGGACCCTACCCTGAGTGAAATGACAGCTCTAGATATCCCCTATGCGGAAGGAATTGGCAATAGGGTGGGAGGATGGGGGGATGGTGGGGGGTGCAGGAGGAGGGGAGGGGAGAGGGAACTGGGATTGACATGTAAAACAAGCTATTTAAAATTAAAATTAAAAAAAAAAAGATGGGCTCATGGGCAGCATGAGCATTGTAGGCTGGGTAGCAGAGGCTGTAGAGTTCAATGGTAACTAGAGTGTTCTGCATAAAGGTGGGCACACTGTCTTCCCTCAGGCCCTCTGGCTCCAGAGGAAACCAAAGCCAGCACCAGTAATATCCCACAGGTACCCATGCAGAGAGAATATACTTCCATCCTCTGGGGGCTGGCAGCTGAGCTGCTCTGTGGCCAGCAGGGAGGAGCACCGCCTACTTCCTAGGATGTAGTTCACATCAGCTCGGCTGCAGTTCTCCCGGAGTTGAGAGAGCTGCCACGGCCAGGGCCTGGGTACAGAACTTCTCAACTGCACTGCGTGGGCCTCTTCCCATCAAAACTGGTGTGCCAAGAGACCCAGAGGTACACTCAAAGTTTCCCAGTCATCACTGCCTCCCAGAAAAACCCCTATTCCACAGTCTGATGGATCCCCTGCTCAGGTAGCCTGTTCTAGAAGTAAGACAGTTATGGGGCTAGACAGGTACACCTGTAGCCCTAGCACTTGGGAGGCTGAGGCAGGAGGATCCCTATGAGTTTGAGGCCAATCCAGGCTACATGGTGAGGCTGTCTCCCCATGCCCCAGCTTCTCCAGCTGTACACAGGGACTAACAATGGCAGCCACGTCAGGTTATTCTGAGGATGGAGTGTTAAGGCTCACCATGAGGCCCTGAACAGCACAGAGCTCAGGCACACTACAGATATGAGACCTGACCCTGTGCGAATCCCTCTGACACTGTACTCACACCCCTCACCCCCTCGGGGCCAGGCTGGCACCTTCAGAATGAGGCAACAGCAGAACAGCAGGAGCTGTCAGCTAGAACAGAGGGGCTGACAGGTGCCCTGCCACCCACCTGCACCCACAAGACCCTTGGTATTTCAGAGACATGCTTTCCCCATGTGAAAATTGGATCCACGGTGGCTGTTCTCTGCTTCCCTGGGAGTCCCCAGTATTGCCACAGCTCCCTTCTCATAAGACAGTTCCCAGAGTCCTCTCTGCAAGAGGGCAGAGGGACCTTGGAGTAATGACTCTTTAGCTGGCCACTTCAACTACGGGGAGGGAGGGAGTGTGACTTGGTGCTGGGGAGGACTGGTCCAGGGCCAGCCACACACTCCTCTGCTTTTAGAACGCAATCCCAGCTGTCTGCACACTCTGACCACACGCCACTGCCCACAGAGCCAAGGCCGAGCGGGCTGCCCGCCTGGGCAACCTCTGCCAAAATGATCACATTGGGTGGCCTTGTGAGAAAGAAATGGATGGACAGCCAGATGGCATGAGTACCACTCCCAGCTCTGCCAGTGGCCAACCATGTGGGTGGCCTTGAGAATGTCATTTAGGAATCTATAACCTTGGTTTCTCCACCTGGGCAATGGCAACAACCAGGGTGTCTGTTTTGCAAGGCAAGCTGGTCAGGTGGGGCTTGCAAGTGCTCTGCTGTTTGCAGGGGCTGTGTGGAAAAGACAGAAACCATTCTTCCAGCGCCAACATGACCAGAAGAACAATGTGCCGCAGAGACTGAGGCAAACCCTTGCCTGGGCCAGCATGGTTCCAAGACACCCAGTTCCCAGGGGACAGTCTGGCCCCAAGCTGCTTTCTTCTCCTGCCCACCCTGCAGGCCAGCAGAGATCAAATCCACATCCACAACAGACGCATTGAAAATCCCTAAATGTGTCCAAGGTGTGGGGTTACATTAGGTACTATGCTTCTGGCCATCTCCTCAGAGAAAATGACCAGGACAGCCTCTTTCCCTCTCTGCAGGCCCCCGCCCAGAACCTTTAGGGTCAAGCAGGGTAGAAATCTGATCACCCAGTGCATTCCCAGGCAGCAGTGTCCTCCGGGACACCCGTTGCCCGGGGAATGGAGGTGTCACAATGACTGAGAGCCAACTCAGGCCACCCACCAGAGACACAGGCTCAGCACCCAGTGAGGTAATGATGAGCTAAGGCAGATGCAGGACTCCATGACAGGGACACTGACAGTCACCTACCCTGTGCCTGGCCAGCCCTTAACCCTTAAGGCTGCTTGGTGACATGAGTGCTGTTATTTCTGGTTCATAGTGGATAAGATTAAGCCACAGAGAGGGTACCACCGCTCTAGAAATGGTGGCTCTGGGACAGCCAGGTCAGGATCCCAACGAAGGCAATCTGATTCCAGAGGTCACTGACCTTTTGAACTACGACCACCCTGCTCCGCCCCCAGCTCATCAGAACTGTGCCACTGGAACAAGGGTGGCAAAGGGGGCTGTGAAGCAGAGGAGACGCAGGGAAGAAGCCAGGGAAGCAGACTTTCCTATCCGGATGACAAGAAGACAGCAAGGAAGAGCTGGCATCCATGCAAGGTGTTTGGTTCTTCACAAACTCTCAATGGGAAACTCTTAAATATCAGATAATGCATTTTTAAATTACAGCAGGTCCCCATAATTCAGCAACAGCAAATCTAGAGAGGCCCAAGGAAACTCTGCAATAAAATGGTAGCTAACTTAAATGTCCAGCGGTAGGGGAATAACTAAATAAAGTGACTTTCAAATACTGTTTACTGGTGTTTTTTAGATGATCATAGTTCGGCCGTGTGGTGGTGGCACACACTTTTAAAGCCAGCATTTGGCAGGCAAAGGCAGGAAGATCTCTTTGAGTTTGAGGCCAGCCTGGTCTACAGAGCAAGTTCCAGGACAGCCAAAGCTACATAGAGAAATCCTGTCTTGAAAAACCAGAAAAAAAATGATGGTAGTTTTCCTTGTGAAGACATAACCAAACTCTCTGATGGCTCAGACCCATAATCTTAGTACCCAGAACACTGAGGCAGGAGGATCACCAAGTTAGAAGCCAAACTGAGCTACAGAGCAGAGGGGCTGTGGGGGAGGACAGAAAGAAAGCCCAATCAGGAGAGTCTTTGCTATGTAAACATGACGGCCTAAGTTCAAACCCCTCCCCATATGTAAAAACGCCAGGCAAGCATCAACCTGGAAAAACAGATATGGGCTTGCTGACCAGGTAGTCTAGCCAAATCAGTGAGTTCCAGATTCGGTGAGATAGCCGTCACAAGGTGGAGAGCGACTGAAGAAGACATCTGACACTGACCTTTGGTCTCTACATGTACAAGCACACATACATACACACACACACAGGGACACATACACAAGGACACACACCCACACACACATACACATACACACACACACACACACACACAACACAAAACCCAGTTTTTCTAGGTAGAATGTTAAGTGAGAATGAATATAGCCAGTACTCAGTACTACAGTACTGCCGCTGTCTGTGTGCTGTCTGCTATGAGTCTGTGTGCTGTAGGGATGCAGCAACCACTAGCTAGTCTGGTGGAGGAGTCTGGAAAGTAGAAGCTGCTAAGGAAAAACTTTGTAAACATTCCACTTTTACTGTAAATATACTTATATGTTCTCTGCAGGACTAAAGCTCACTACAACAAAATTTAAAAGACATAAAAATCTGCCTTGGCTAACAGTCACCAGTGCCCCTGAGTGATACAATCACCCACAATAGGGTTGGGGGCATCAGAGAAAATTCTAATACCCCATGGAGACATCTCTTCTGAGCCTGGTTAGGGAAGCTGAAGCCAAGACCAGGGGTGTCCACCCACACATGGAGTCATTATAAAGAAGTACTGTCTATATTAGACCCTGGGAAGGGGGAGGCTGGGCAATGGGGTCCCCTGGTGGCTTAGGCAGAAGTGAACAGCCTGGCTCATGGGGCCAAGTACCCAACTGTGACACCGCACCCAGACAAGAGTCCTGACTGCCCAGTGAACCCTAACCCCAAACAGGCTGAACTTCCCAGCTCCAGATAAACCCCAAGTCAGGACCAGGCAACAATCCAATGCTGCAGTGTGGAGAGAATAGACCCAGTCTCAGCTCCGCCCTCAATACCCACACAAAACCACCAACCTCTCTGAACTCTTGGGAGACTCAGTTAGTCCATCTGCCAGTTGGGCCAATGATGAGCATCTCCCAAACTGGCTCTGAGTAAGATGAGCTCATGTCAGCCCACCTTTTTGTGAAAAACAGTGGCTCCATTAACACAAGGGGTCACAGCCACACTCCAGGGGGACCCACGATGCCGAGAAAATAAATGGGCAATGCCTGGGCTCCAAGACAGCCAGGCTTACTGGGAATGGTCGCAAATGCCTTTAATTCCAGCTCTTGGGAGACAGAGGAAGGCAGACCCATGTGACTCTGAGGCCAGCCTGATCTACACAGAGTTCCAGGCCAGCCAGGGCTACAACATAGTGAGACTCTGTCTCAAAACAACAACCACAGCAGGCGGAGGAGTAAGAGGGGCTGTTACTGGGAGGCACTAGCTGATCTGCCTGAGACAAGAACCTGACTGTACCCCAACTCCTGGGTGCATCCTTAGAGGATTACACTGGGGAACCCTGCCACAGGGGAGGGTGGACTTTGAGAAACAGGGGCATGGAGAAGCAAGGCAGCCCTGCATGACATTCACCAGGGACACTGCCAGCTTCGGGGAGAGCGGGGCCAGGGCCAGTGACCTAGAACCTGCCTACCCCACAGAGTCCCCACCCAGGCTGCCACTCGCCCAGTGTGGCCAGGGCCACTGTCAAAACCAAGGTACCTCAGTGACTCCAGACTCATTGGCCTGAAGCTCAAGTTGGGTCAGTGAGGAAGGCCTGCCCTGTCCCACCCCGTTCTGCAGGAGTACAGAGACTCTGAACAGCAGCTTCCCAGCCTGCGGTTGCTGCAGGACTCAGCTGGTCTGAAAGTCTGAGAGAGAGAGTGAGCCAGGGGCACCCTTAACAGGGCCCCACAGAGATGGGTGAGGCTGGTGCTCCTGGGAGGGGTGCTCACACAGCTCCCTCCTGGGCAGCCCCCTCCTGGGCTTGTGGCCACATGCAGGCCCAGGCACACCTTGGGTTGTTCCCAGAAACCCAAGGACAAGGTGGGTCCCTCAAGTCAGAAAAGAGGCTGGGCAAGAGCTGAGGGAGTAACTTCTAAACACTATGCAATGCTCCCCTGCACTGGCTCAGGCTTGCAGGTGTGGCAGGAATGCAGGTCCCAGACCTGGCCATTAGAGGAGCCACATGGGAAGCAACTTCAGGTCACTGTCCCTTCTTACCCCCAGACACCAGGTCTCCAGAGGACAGGCCACAAGCCCTGGTGACTCCAGCCCCTACAAGAAGCCCTAACTTCCCTCCTCCTTGCACATGGCCCCAGTGAGCCCCAAGGAATATGGACACCCCACTGGCAGCTCTCCAGGACACACTCCTGCAGCTCTGGTGTTAGAAGTGGGGGGGGGGGGGGGGAGGAAGCTTCACCCACAGCCAGCACCTACTACAGATATCAGCCATGACCAGGGCAGTCTAGGAAGGTAGTGGTCTGCTGGCTCACCAGCCAGGACTGCCTCATAGAATGGGCAGAGCTCCTCCCTGGCAACCCCCCTGGACCCAAGGACAAACTCCCTGACAAGGGAAGAGAAGGAATGTGCACCAGGAAGATCTTGTTCCTCTTTAAAATACCATGACCGTATCTCCATTCCAAGCCTCCCACCACAGGGGCGGAAGTTCTCAATCTAAAAGCTGACTGGATCTCACCTCTCCTAAAGAACTATCAAGAGCTCCCCAGGACCTCCAGGGTAACTCCTTTAAGTCTATGGTTCTCCCAAATTCCAAGACCACCTGTCACTCAATGAAGCACAGGCCCTCCCACTGTTCACCCTTGCATACGTAGTTCTCAGTGCCCAAATGCCCTTCCCTCCCTCCACCTGACACACTTCTGCTGGGTTGGTTTTTGGGGGGGCATGTCCAGCTGCTCCCCTGCCTCTGGGAAGTGAACCCTTACTCCCTTCCCCACTGCCCAAGGCCAATCCTCATACTTCCTGCCTTTCACTCATAGTCAGGATGGGAGCCAGAGCTGCTCAAACTATCTGTGATAAAGAGACTTTTTGTTTCAGCTTCCAAACAGTGGCGCACAGTTTTGTTTGTAAACTACAATGGACATGGCTTGGGGACCACATGCTACAGTAAGAGTTTCTCAATTTTCTTCTCCAAGTCTGTAGCGCTCTCCCTACAAACTTGTAACAGAACAATAACTCACAGCTGCTCACCTAGGCCAGAGGTCCACCCAGCATGCACTGGACAACACTGGCCAGGCTGCTGTTAGCCTAGCATTCCAAGGAGATCCAGCAGCGTTTGCACTTCCAGACCCCAAAGGAGTACTGCTCAAACACCTGATGACAAAACACTGGGTGGGAAGATCCAAACACCCCACAATACAGCAGCACTTGTGTCAAGAGCCCCATTTCCCAGACTGGCCTGAGCCATGGCTCTTCGTGTCCTATGGTTTCACTGCACTACCCAGCAGCCCAGGGGAGACACGAGGACGCCGCCGGTTGCCCAGAGCAAAGACCCCGCAGCCCAGGCCCCCACCAGCAGTACCACAGAGTAAGTGATCTTGGTTCATCCCTTCCCAGCTGTGTGACCTTGGGTACGTCACTTCACCTTTACAAACTGGATCCAATAACAAAGCGTCACGGGGCAGCTGAAGTTAGCAGGACTGCGTATACAAAAGTGCCTCCTGCAGGCATGGCTGATACTGGGGCTTACAGGACACCCACCATTTCTTGGGCTAAGTCCTGTTCCAGCTGGTCTCTTTGGCACCCTCCTATTCCCCTTCCCAAGGCAAGGGGCTTCTCTCTCCTCCCCACGGCCGCTCGCTCGGACACTGAGTCTTCTGCAGATACCGAGCTCTCTGGCTACACTGACTTGCCTTCTGGAACCCAGCTGGCCTGCACATGATACACTTGGACACATACAGGGTAAGTCACCCTGACTGTACTGGGGCTGTGCGGTTTGATCCAGGTCCCACCAACAGTTCTCCACCCTCAAGAGTCTCACCTACCTCAGGCCACGACAAGGTTGGGTCCCCTGCACGTGTCCCCATGTGCTGCACTCATGGCGAGCTCTCTCATAACGAGCCTTCTCCCTGCAGCAACTGAGGGTCTGCTCGGCCACTGTTCCTACCTCTCTTGTATCCCAAGCCAGGTACTCCGTCACCCAGGGAAGCTGGCAGTGGGACCCTTTCCCGGCCCTCATTCTTTCTCCTCAGGAAAGGTTTGGGAAAACAGGAGACGACAGTCTGTGGGCTCTGACATTGTAGGGTGGCCCCTCATTCACTTTCTCAGTGAGGCCCACACCAGCTCAGCTCAGGCTTAAATCAAACCATAGCCCAAGGTCTACTCCCACCCCCGTAGCCTCTCACTGTGTGTTTACCTCCAACCCTTCTCCAAGTATGGACACTGCTTACTACGAATATATCCAGGGGGATCCTGGGGCACAGGGGAAGGTGGGATTTGGAGTCTGGCCACAAGCACATGACTTCTTCCCATAAGTCACTTTTGGTGTCTGAGCCTCAGTTCCTGCGATGGCACAGTGAGGTCTCCTGTGAGCTGGCCTGCCTGCCTGCCTTGGGAATTTGGACGAAGGCTTTGAGGGAAGGTAAAATGGGGAGGGCGGGGGCGGAGCGATATAGAGCTTTCTTCTGT